CCCCAAAACCCCAAAACCCCAAAACCCCAAATATTGTTTGACGAGTTGAATCGTATTATATATTTTTAAGCCATAAAATATGTGGAGAACTCGACTGTTGTTCAAGACTACCAGACGAGCATTCTTTTACAAAAACCGGGGCGCAAAAGGTGAGGCTAAGCCTGACTTTTACCAAATGCTCGGTGTAGATCGGGATGCGACTGACCAAGACATTAAAAAGGCATATTTTGAGAAAGCAAAGACACATCATCCTGATGTTGCCGGTCAAGATAGCTCTTCTGAGTTTAATTTTGAGCAAATAAGTGAAGCATATCAAACCTTAAAGGATCCTAAAAGAAGGAAGATGTACAACCTAACCGGTCTCTCTTCAGACGAGCAAGGAGAAGATTTTATTTCTTTTCGAGAAGAAGCAAAGAAAGCAAGGAAAAGATCCAATAAGCAAGCGAATGAAATGTTTAAAGACTATGTAAAGTTATTCAAATATGAGCAATCATTCTTTGAAGGATACCTCAGCCAAAAGCCTGAAGCTGTCAATATGAAAGGAGACCCTTGAAAGAAAGAATTTGATTATGAGCCAAATGTTGCTCAAAATATTGTAGTTGATTTTAAAGAGTTAGAAGGAGTTATGAAGAGAAATGATCCAAATGACCTTTTCTTGACCAGGAGGGTCATCTATGATCGGCAGATCCTCTGACCTGATTGTGACGGTAAACTGCATCAAAAGAACACCGAGATTGGATACTGTGATACATGCCAAGGAAAAGGAACTATAATAGGTGGATCAGGATCAACTGTTAAATTATACAAATGCACTGAATGCCTTGGTTCTGGAAAAATAATTCCTAATCCATGATACACCTGAGATGCTAAGGGACATATACAGAAGCATACAAAGTTGAGTGTCAAAATACCAGCAGGAGTGTTAAGTGGAGAGTATATGAGAATTAAATAACAAAGGAAATATTCTTCCTGATGGAAGTTACGGGGACCTATTTATCCAAGTCAACATTATGAATGTCCCAGAGAATTTAGAGATCCGAGGATATGATATCATATCAACTCACAAAGTCCCTGTTGGGAAAGCAGTAGTAGGTGGGGAAGAGTATTTCGATACACTATACGGAGTAGTCTCTAGTAGACTCCCTCCTCAGCATGGTCCAAATAAAAGATTTGAACTCGAAGGGCATGGGCTCCCTATTCCAAATTCGAATGGGCAGAAGGGGAAGCATATCTTTAACATTGAGTATGAGATGCCATAATCCTGCTGTTATATTAATACCAAATTTCTAGAATTCGCTGCCATTTATCTGTTTTAGAGTGTAATCAATTATAAATTTATCAATGGGGTTTTGGGGTTTTGGGGTTTTGGGGTTTTGGGG